AATGTGGAATCAATTTAAGGACCCCCATGATGATTTATTTCATTTTTGTATCACCCAATAGCCAAAGCATTCCGGGCAGTTTACAACGATGAGCAAGCCATGGGAGCTAAGTACCTGCCATTTTAGAACAACTTCAAAGTGATTTTGCTGCTTGCAATGATGCTAATTAATAGAATTAATTATAAATTACCACAGAAGAGCACTTTGTAAAAATATTTTTAATATGCCCTAACTTGGCATGTGAGATATTAAAGCCAGCATGTATATTTGTGTGGAGAACCCTGGTCTCTGGCTTCCTTCTGGGCACCTGCAACACAGGCACTGGCTGAATGAGGGCAGCTGTGGAAGGACAACAGCCTGCACTGATATCACAGATGGCTGCTACTTCTTTACAATCTGTGCTTGAAAGCCTCGAGGGGCTTCAGCTGGGAGCCAGTGGAGAAAGAGGAGTATGACCAGCCAGAACAGGGGAAAGGGCTGGAAGACTGGAGGGCTGGAGAGAAGAGCAAATTGACATGTGGGGGAGCAGGGGGGGGGGGGGGGACTAAAAGAGATGGAAGCATGAAGTAGAGGCAGATAGAAAGAGAAGGGATAAAAATGACATTAGATGAAGAAGCTGGATGATGGAGTGACTTTTGTTCCTGAAAGCTGGAAGAAGAGAATTTGGGGCAGCTGTCCAACTTCCCCATATTTCTTCAACAGCAAGCCACCCATGCATGCAGTCCTGTATCCTGTTGGGAAGAACTGGGGCCAAGGACTCCTAGCTGGCTGACACATTCTCACATGGGAAGGGACACTGCTAGGGCGAAAGCAGAGCTTAGGAGCTAAATTCAACTTCTGAGTAGCTCTCAGGGGCTAGTGGTGGCTGAAGCCAACAAACCACAAATACCAAGGATTGCTAGTTTATTGTGGGTTAACTTCTTATTGCCAATAACTAACTAGGTCTTTCAAGCTTTTAGGATGGGGAATTTTTTTTTCACAAATGCTCAGAAACCATAAAATGGTCAGTGGTTTGAGAAAAAAGAAATCCTAGAGAGGGAGACCAAACTTTGTCCCTGGCTCTGGTGTTCCAAGAGAGACATGTCATGAATAGTAGAAAAGTACCACAATTATTTTGGAGTCCAAAGAAGTTCTGTGCCTTGATTTAATTTTCAAAGGGAACAAGACAGGATCTCATAATTGCCAAGTCAGTGTAGCCTAAAATTGAAAACTTTTGCTTGAAAGCATCCACAAGTTTTCCCTTTTATGAAACCTATGGATCAAGGTGGGTTTGACATGCCCCTTCCTAATGATCCACTCAGAATTTAATGCAGTTGTACCGAAGGTAGAATATTTAGAGAATGAAAAGGGCCTCTGATGGACCCAAATGGTTCCTTCAAGCTGTCCCCTTTGCCTATCTTCACTCTATTGCTCATGTTTACTGTTCCTTTAGGCATCGGTTTTTTCACATCGTTTTTTAGAAATATGCCATGGTTCTCTTAGCTGATTCTGTTAATACAATCCCAGTCAGGAGTCATGTGCTAGTCAAATTCCAGCCTTCCTGTTCAAATTGAGATCAGTGCTCAGAGATCTTGAAATTGAGACCAATGACGATGCTTTCTGCTTTTACCCTGAAATGTCTTCAAGAAAATTCCCATAGTTGACTGGATTGGTTTACATAGCAGTGATGTAAAGCTGATTTTGAGTGAGGGCAGCAAGCTTTACATTCACTTTGAATAAGGGAGATGGGAAGTCCTACCAGGACAGATGCCTTTCGGGTCTGTCCTTAAGGTGATGCTAAGATGGGCTAAAAACTTCACCTCATTTCCAGTCCTTCCTGCAAGGAATTACTGAGGGAGGGAGCATTCTTCATAGCTTATAAACATGGCTGTGGAATCAGAGGCCTGTTTTGACTAAGCCATAATTCTTAGTGTCTCCTGGAAAAAACCCTTCATTTTGGCCTGTGGCTTTTGTCATTTTAGTGTTTTCTCTGTTTACTTTTGTGTGTTCATGTTAATGATCATGAGGATATAATTGGGTATGTTTTGAAGGCCATAGCACTTGATCAATTGGAAGGGTTTGGTGCTTTCAAACAATCTTACTAGCTTACTGCAATTCCTTTGAAAATGAAACATTCCTCAGTTTGAACGTTATTAACAGCAGGCAAACATACTTGAGAAGAGGAGTTTCTTTATTATGCTTGTTCAATGGAAATCTTGTGGTATAAGAATGGATTGCAAGTGCTGTTGGACATCTTCCATTTGTGTAGGGAAATGACCTTGCCCAACAGGAATGCTGAGCACCCCATGTGAAATAAAAAAAACTATCTTAGAAATATCTCAGTATCCCCTGCAGGGGGTTCCTTGGCATATAGGTGAGGAGAAGACAGTTAAATAAAGTCTGAAAACCACCATTTTAATACATGAGCATATAATGTACATTGAATGACTTTCTTGTGGTGCTGCACTGCTGAATATTTTTCTTTTTGAAAGCTTTTAATGTGGACATACCTTTCCTCCAGTACACACTTATTGTCATGTCATGTGATATTATACCATTGCATGTGGATGGGCTGAAGATTGTTTACTTGAAGTTCAAAAAGACTTTTGAACAAAATCCTTCAAAAAGTCTCTGGAGCAAACTTAGCAGTCCTGGAATAAAAGAGGAGAAGTCTTATGGATCACTAACAGGTTAAAGAACAGAAAGCAGAGAGTGGGAGCAAATGATAATCTCTCCCAGCGGAGAGATATAACCAGTGGGGTTCCACAGGGTTCTGTATTAGAATCAATACTTTTCAACCTGTTCATAAATGTTCAGGAATTATTTATTTATTTATTTATTTATGTAAAACATTTTTATGCCGCCCCCATCGCAACAAAGCCTCGGGGCGGCTCACAATAAGAACAAAATATAACAAATTGTACAATAAAAATATTAAAACCCAGTGCATCTCGGCTTAAAAGATTTAAAATCCTATAAATAACCAATAAATTAACAATTAAAATAAGTTAATGAGTTAATTAGGAATAAACAATGAAGTGACCAAGTTTGCTAATAACAACAAACTGTCTATGGTGGTTAAAACCAATAGGGATCTCAAGGAGCTCCAGAAATACTTTCCAGACTGGGAGAATGGGCATTAGAAAGGGAAATGCAGCTTAATATGAGCAAGTGTAAAATAATGCACGTTGGGGCAAATAGTCCCAGCTGCTAGTAGTGGCTGATGGTATCTGGGCTAGCAGTGACCGATGAAGAAAAGGATCTTGGCTTTGTGATGGGAAACGCAATGAAAATGGCAGCCCAGAGCTCAGCTGTGGTGAAAATGGCAAACTGTCAAGATTGTACTTGCCTTATACAAATCTCTGGTGCAACTGCACTTAGAATACTAAGCACAGTTCTGCTTGCTGCTGACAAAAGGCATTATTCGTTTGCAGAAAGTGCAGTGGAGGGCAACCAAAATGATCACAGGCTTGGAGCAACTCCTGTACAAAGAACAATTGCAACAACTATGACTGTTTACTTTGGGGAAAAAGTGAATAAGAAAAAACATGATAGAGGTGCTTAAAATTATGCATAGTGTAGAAAAAGTGGAGTGGCCCTTTTCTCCCTCTCCCATACTAGTAAAATCTGGATAGGTGGGAGATTTAGGGCAGATAAAAGGAAGTACTTCTGCACAGCATATAGCTGAACTATGGAATTCACTGCCACACAAAGTAATGATGGCCACTGGTTTGGATAACTTTAAAAGGAGATTGGACGACTTTGTGAAGGAGACGCGTATCAGTGGCTGCTAGCATTGCTGGCTGTGTGCCACCTCCTTTACCAGAAGTGGCGTGCCTGTGCACACCAGTTGCTGAGGAGCAACTGTACCCATCCTGCTTGGGGGATCCTGTGAGCTGCTGTTTTGCCACCATGTGAACAAAACGTTGCACAGAAGGGACCCTTGGTCTGATCCAGCATGGCTTTCTTATGGTCTTAAGTTCATTGCAGGTGTTGATGTATGAAAGACAAATACACTATATACACTTGTACATACTGCAGTGCTTTGTTGTTATTGTTCGTATCCTCATTATCCAGTGTATCATACATTTAGAATGAGGACTTCCTTTCTTAATTTCATTTCATTAAACCGAAAACCTCAACTGCCCTGTCTTAAACAATACTAAGTAACATACATTATCCAAGCATTATGGTTAACGAGTCATCCAACGTAATTCCCACAATGAAGTTTTCATCCAATGCTTTATGGTCTATTACACGTTGACAGAAGTAAAGGGAAATTGGAGATTTGGGAGATTAAATGTCTCCCTTGCCTGTCCGTGGAGGATGGTTTGCAAAGGCTTCTGCCCTGATTCAGCTTAGCAACAGCTTTGAATGAGGTTTTCATAACTTCTTTTCTCTTCTTTTTTGTTGCAAAATATATAATACATAATAGCGCAACACAGATATTTTGATTGATTGATTAGATCTGGCTCCATTCCATGCTGCATCATAGCATATATGAATTT